AAATTAAATTTATAAAATTAAAAGATAAATTTTAAATTTTCTATTTTAATCTTAGTTTAGAAAACTCAATTAGTAAATTTTATAATCAAATTTTCTATTTTTTGAAAAAGGTTTAAATAATTATTGATAAAAATTTTTTTAAAATATAAATGAAAAGATAAAAAAACAAATTAAAAATTTATTCTCAAGAAATTTAGATTTTAATTTTATTTACAATTAGAAAAATTTTAGTAATTTGTCAATATAATATTCATTTATACATATTTAATTTAGAAATGATAAACTTTTGATTTCAAAATAACTATTTTTTTTTATAAAAATCCAATTCAAAAAGAAAAATAATTATTAGAATTTTAATCTAAAAAATTATTTTGAAAAATGTTTATTAGTAAAAAAAATTCATTTCTAATACATTCAAAGTATTGTTTTACCTTTTCAATTTTTTTATACTTTAATACCATATTAATTAAATAATGAATAAAATAAAAAATATTTAAAATATGATATTAGTTATTTTATTTAATTAATATTTTTTATTGAAAAATAATTTAGAATTAACATTTATAAATGAATAATCTACAACTTAAATTTTGATGTGAATATTTTTTAAGTTAAATTTTAAAAAATGTAATTATTTATTTATGTATTTTTTAAATAAATTAATAAATTTTTCATCTAACTTATTTTTATATTTTTAAAGATTTTAATAAATATTATTTGACAGAATTAAATAATCATTTAAAAATAATTTAATATTTTTATTTTTTATTTTTAGATAAGAAGGAATTAAATAAGAGAAATAAGAGTATAACAAATTAAATAATACTTAATCAAAATGTATGAATCTTTATAATTTGGTATTAGATCTTCATTTGGATAGCTAAATTCAATAAAAAAACTTTTTAAGAATTTAATAGATTATTTTAAAATAGTTCAAAGCATAACTTACATTAGCAATTAAAGCGATTCTTCTATATGTAATGGTTATCCAAATGAATAAAATTCTAAGTTGATGCTTTATATTTCTTAAAAACCTATTTATGCAAATTGTTTAAGGCAAATAAAATTAAATATCTTAAAAAATGAAAAGAAAAATATCCATTATTTTGTTTGCTAATTTTATATTTCATTTGATAATTTTTTAACTAAGCCTTAGGTAAAGTAGTTTAATAACTTAAATAAATAAATGAAAGATATATTTAAAAAAATTAGTTAAACAAAGTAATGTGAACTAAAAATTATTTAAAAATAATATAAAAAATATTTAACTCTTTAAAAATGATTTTACTTAAAAGTTCTAATATAATTTTATTAATAATTTTTTTATTAAAAATAAGTTCAATTTTTTTAGATGATAGTATTTTTGTATTTTTTACTAAAATAAAAATGGATGTAATTATTCTTTAAATTTACTGAAAAATAATAATATTTTAGAAAAATTGCTAAATTAATTTAATCAAAAATAAAGTGTAAAAAATAATTTGATTTCCAAATTCTGATTTTAAAACTTTTATCTAAAAATTAGGAATTCGTTTTTTTTTTTCAAACATTTAAATGCTATTAATAAGAAAAGTAAAATTTATTTTTAATTTAAAATAAAATTATAAATTGTAAATAAAAAAAATTAATGATAATTCATTTAGATTTAAATAGTGTGTGGATTAAAAAAAATTAATAAAAATTACAAAAATTAAATATCATTTCAGATAAATATTCATGTTAGGTTACTTTAAAAAAAAAAATCTGTATTTTTGTAAAAGAAATTAGATATTACATAAATCTATTATAATTATAAAGATTAATATCTGAAATTACAAATTCAAATTTAAAAAACATACAACAAAGATTTATGATAAGAAATAAAATTAGTTTAATTTAGTAGTAATTAGAAATCCATTGCTACCATTTTATTTTACTTGGCCTTGCTTTCATTCTTTCTATTTTATTTAATTGAATAAGCTCAGTTGAATATCGCTTATATAGATTAATAAGCTCTATAGAAGGATTATATTCTTGTGTAAGTAGCTGTATCAATTTACTAAAATGATTTGGAAACACATTACATAAATTCTTCTTCAGACACCTTTTCTTTTAAAAATGATAACAAATCTACAGATTTTTCTAAGTTGTTTTCTAGATTATCTTCTTAAGAACAGAAACTTAGATTAAGCTCTTCTCTGCCTTTGAACTTTTACAAATACCTTGAAGATATGAAAGTTTCATAATTACACAACTAGGATATTTAATCTAATAAAGCTTAGATTGGTTTGCCTAATTTAAAAAAATTTTTATTTTGAAATTCTTCTTTAATTGCAAACAAATTCTAATTTGATTGAGATAACTTGATTTCTGTAATTAAGCTTTGTTCACTTTCACTTAAATATTTTTGCTTTTCTACAGCTAAATTAGAATAGCTATTGAGTAAAATTTCAAAATTATTACCTTTTCTTAACGTTCCATTAGCAAACTCAATATATTCCTCATAACTATAATTAGTTTATTTAATTTTATCTACAAAATTATTAAGATCAATGGAGTACTGTTTCATGCAATTATTGAAGTGATCTAATTATTTTTCTGTAGGATTTTCTGATTTCAAAATTATTTCAACTTCTTTTTTATAATCGAGTTTAGAATATATTTTCTCATATATTTTTTAATCCTCTACTTTGAAGCGATTAAAAAAGGTTTAAATAATTTAATCATTAATGAGGATACATTGCTTAATTTCTGAAATTTAAGTTTAAATTTAGTCAGATTTAACCTCATCAAATTAAAAGAACAATTTATTAATAATATTTTCTTTAAAAATATATTAAGAAATTTCATCCTTAAGTTATTTGTCAGACTATGTCCCTTTATGAATATTTGATAAAATCTGTTTGTTGCTTGTAAAATTGTCTTTTTCTAGTTCTCTAAACCATTCGTAAGCCTTGCTGCACTATGGTTGAGAATATAATTCAACACAGTTTTTCTTCTTTAGCAAATCTGCCTTTTAAAAATACAATAAACTAATTTTCTTTTCGTTTAGAAAATCTTTAAAGAATAATCCAATAGTTTTATCAAACTATTATTTGTCTGTAAAGCTCAATTGAGAAAATAAGTTTCCTATTAATCCTATTGCTGCTGCTATTCCACCAACAATCCATCCTATTCCTGGGATTAAAAAAGCAGCAATACCAAGAAATCCACTTAAAACATTAGAAACTGTATTTAGCTGCATCTATTAAGAGCAAATATATCTCTTTTAATAAGAAGAAAAGTCAAATCCAATACTAGCAAGTGATGCAACTACATTTAAAGCAAGTAAAATTCTATTGACCTCTTTTATTGCTTTGAAAGAAGTTATTAATAGCTTAGCATTATAACTGAAGTATGTCATATTTCTAATTCCTTCTCCTCCAACTCCAATAATTTTATCCATGGCTTCAAAAAATTGCTAAATGGTAAAATTTATTTTTTCTTAGTCTTCGTATTGAAAAGCATCAATTATCCCATTTTAAATTGTCTAATAAGCAGTAATCTCTTTGATCACTTTTAATTTGGCTAGATCTTCCAAAGTCTACCTGTGTTTTTAGATATCAATAACTGGTTAAAGATGATAAACTAAATTCCAAAAGTGAAGCTGTTTTCTTGAGAGTAAAATTTTTTCGCTTGATGGTTCTTTTTCGAATTAGTAAGAATTCCATTAATACAATATTAAAAAATGTCTTTAAATGTTGTTTTTTAATTTATTTTATTATTGTATGACTCTCTCTCTTTAGTCTTTGTCTAATATATTAAAGTTTTCATTAAAAAGCAGTTATAAAACACTTTAAACTTCATCTATTTTATTAAAATTAGTAATCAATCCAAAGTGTAAAGCATCTAATTCCTTTTAAATGCCTATCTTTTATGCTATTTGATCTTATGATTCTTATGATGGAATTTAAGGTTCATTAATTTATGCAGTTATATTGTCGAGCTCACGATATAAAATAAATATCCTTTAGTATTATTTCTTATATTCATTTGGATCTGTAATTATTTAGAAATCTTAAAATTTTGTTATTTTCAACTAAATTTTGTCTTCTACTGAAAAGCTATCAATAGAATTGATAGCCTTGAATAATGTCTATATTTGTAGCTAATCTTCTTACTCATCTATTTTTTAGAGTTCTCCCTCATGCATATAGTTGCACTTAAATTCAACGCTCTTTAATTCAAAATTATTGAAATAGATACCGCCTCTTCGATCATTATCTGTCAATCTCTCAACTTAAATCATTTTACTCTTGACATATCTAATATTTTTTTGGCTTATATCATTATTAAAGCCTTATGTAAGGATGTCATCTAGCATATCTGAGTCTACTAAAGTAACTTCCTAGTCAAATAGCTCTGAAATAAAAAGAAGAAATTGTTTTACAATTTAATCAGTGTTATCTCTATATTATATTTCTGCATTTCTAACAAATAAAATTTTGAATTCTAATATTTTATTCCTTCTAAGAAAGTCAGCTATTTATTTAAAATTATCTAAGTAGCTGCTTCTGTTCTCAGTTCCTCCATATCCTGGAGTATCAATAAAGTTGTATCTGACATTATTATATATAACTGGGAATATTTCGCAAAATCTAGATTTAGAATTGATAGAATCCCCTACAAGTCCTTTATATTTGGTTAGTTATTCTATCAAAGAAGATTTACCGACTTAAGATTCGCCTATAAGAATAATATTTTGTACATTTTATTTATTATCATATAAAAAACAGCTTTAGGCAAGTTCTACAATTCTAAGAATTTTTTCATTTAAACTTTTTTCTTGTTATTGGATATCATCTGCATATTTTTAGAGTTTACTCAGTTCAGAATCTGTAATGTTTGACCAAATTTACTTTCTGAGAGAATCTAGCATGTATTCGTTGCGTTTTTTAAAAGTTATATTTGGCTATCTATCAAAATGAGTATAAACAAAAATATGATAACTATTGGCATATTGAATATAATTTAATGCTTTATCTTTTTCTTTGTAAATTTGAATTCTAAAGTCACTGTATTTATCTTGACCAGTATGGTATTTGCACTAAACCCACTTCAAGAAGTTATCGCTATTCTAGAATTCAGCAATAAGTCTCTTTAGAGTGATTGGATCGCTAATCAAATCTCCAAATAATTCATATAAGAAGTAAGTGTAGACTAACTCATTGATATCTTTTTGTTAAGTCTAAAGCTATTTATTTGATACATAAACGAAAAATAATTATTATATTTTGATTTTTTCAGTAAACAGGAATTTAACAATTTCAAATATTATTTCTTCTCTAATCCTATTTGTATCATTAATGCCAGGGGTGTCAATGTGCTTAATTCCATCTTTTATGTAAATATTGCATTTTTACGTGCATGAATCTCTCCCGTCGCTCACTAAAATTTCATCTTAATTAGTTATTGTCTTTAATGTGCTACTTTTACCGCTTCCAGTATTTCCAAGAAAAATTCTTATTTTAACACCATCTTTACAAATCATTTTTTCATACTCATTAATTTAATGTTGACTGGAATTTTTTAATATGCAACCTGATATTTTTAATTAAGGATCATAAAATGAACTAAGATTTGACCCTAATAATTAATAGCCAGGTGTATTTTGCAATTAATCGCCAAATAAATTAGTTTCTTACTGCATTAGATTCTAAATATTTTTTATTTTTATATTTTTTTATAAATAATTTGAAGGCTGGGATTTTTAAAAATCAATTAATATATCTAATCAAATTTGATTTTAAAAACAAATAAATTGAAAACACTTCTTAGCTAAAAACGAAGTCGAAATGTAGATAGATTCTTTTATTATACTCCAATAGATTTGATAAAATTTAAATGGTAAAAAAAATTTGATAAACTCACCACACTATTTCGAGGAAAAATACTCAAATAAAAAATTAAAATCTTTCAACTCACGCTATATTATAGTTTAGGCTAACATATAATTAGTATAGCTCTAATTTTAAAATTAAGTCAGTGCTTTCGGTTGTATCTAATAAATACAATTAAAAAAATTTTTTTTTATTATATAGGGTAAATTTTGATATTGATTGATCAAAAAGTCTGATTTTATATTGATCGATATTATAAACTTATTAATTGCTTTTTTAATTTCTTTTATAAATATAATTGGAACATGATTTCATAAAATGTAAAATCTTTATTATTTTATTAATAATTAAATTACTAACTATTTAATAAAAAAGACTAGGAGACCATTTAAGTTTAAAAAATTTTAAATTCTAGTTAGTTATCTAAAGTTTAACTGGATATATTTCATGAAAGTAATTAGTATCAATAATGTTACACTATTTCGAATGTTTATAGATATTAACTAATTTGTTTACTTTTGTTTTAATAATATTCCTCTAAATAATTTTTTTTAAATAAAATAAAACAAATGATTATCTCATATTTGTTATTTTTATTAGCTAGTAAATTATTTTAAATATCCAACCATCCATATTTTTAAAGAAACCTAAATACTTCTTAAAAATATTGACACTAAATATATCAACATTTTCTTTTTAAATTGATTCTGAAAATTTAAGAAAACTGGTTGTTTAATTGATAGACTGTAAACTATATCGTTTTTACGAAACTAATCAATAGAAGAAAATTACAATATTTAAAAAAAGATCAATGGTAAAAAAATAAAGAAAAACAGTTTAAAAAAGTCTTATTTGATTGATTAATTTATCATAAAGGGAAACTTAATAATGTTTATGAATATTTTTAATTTGCTTATAATTAATTATCTTGATTTGAAAAATCAACTAATTAGCATCTATTACAAATCTTTTTACTATTAAATATAGATATATTTTTTATAAGATTAATAAAAAAAGAGATTTTTATATTTTAATATCAATTTTTAATAATATTAAAGAAAATGAATGACTATTGATTTTTATTTAAAGTTGGTTTTTCTTAGATGGTTTAAAGTTTTTTTGTTTTGTTTTATTATCCATAATATTTTATCCTTCATTTGCTTTTTATTTACTCTCTATTGATTAATTTGCTGGTTTATCATCCCATTTTTTACAATTATTTTCTAGTTATTTTATAATATACTAAGTTTCATGGCTTTATTTTTAAGATTATTTGAGTTTGCTTTATAGAATTTTAAAATTACATATCATGAAGAACTCTTAAGAATTAAAAAAATTAAAATGTTTTGCTAAAAATAATCTGGAATTCATCAAATATATGTCAAGAGAGGCATAGCCATTAAAAAATTGACTTTATTTCTACTTAGGACTAGTAAATAGAATTATACCCTAAAAATATAAATAAAAACCTTTAATGTATTTGAATTAAAATAATTATGCATTTTAATAAGCTATTTTTCCTGTTTTAGAGCTTTTCTTATACTTTGTTGGATTCATACTCTAACTTTCCTAGCATTTTGATAAAAAACTCTTTTTTAAACTTCATTTTATATTTTGATAATGTATAAAAACTATTATGCGATTATAAATGGATGGATAACTTAAAGTATCTACTTAAAACTACTTTAATAATATTTATAGCATTCAAAAATAAGTTTTTTTCATTATTTATGATACTATTGTATAAAATAAATATTTCATGACCTGAGTGTTTAGCTTTTAAAATTTCTTTTTTATTAAAATGGTATTAACGAAATAAGCTTTTGTTTTTAAATAAATGATTTAAAATTAAGCTTCTATATTATTTACAAATAAACAATATTTTATAGAAATGATTTTTAAAAAATACTTTTTATCTAATATATTATTGTATTATATCAAATAACAAATTTCACTTTAAAATAATAAATATTTTAGATATAATTTAATAAATTAAAGAAAAAGAAAGAAAAATAATTAAACTAATGAGTGAATGAATGAAAGAATAATGATAATTAATTATAAAAAATATTTTTATGCCTTATATATGGTAAAATAAGAAGTCTAGCCCATAGGGGTATTTTTGACACTCATTTTTCAAAATTTTAAACTAATTTTAACAATAAATTGACAAAAATAATTATAAATCCTAGCATATTAATCGAAATATATATATATATATAATTAATTAATTTAATATTGTATGTACTCATAATTTTGGTTATACTTGTGAATTTATTTATTTATTACTCACCTCAATTTATTCAATAATTTAAATAAATATTTTAAGCTTTATAGATAATTCAAATCCTTTATGATATTAAAATGCATGTCCAGCATCATTATACGAAAATATGAAATTTTTGAGAACGCTTTATTCATCTCTAAGCTAAAATTTATAATCTAATTTTGGTTAATTTTTTAACTAAAAATTGTATGATTGAGGAGAAAGAATATAGTAATATATTTCTTACTGCAAATGTCTCTCTCTTAAAAGAGCATCAACCTAAGAATATGCAAAAAATCTAGGTATTCTTCTATCTAAATTTTTCATTTCCAGAAAAAATGAATCAAATCCATTTTTGTATGTTTGAGCTTTTAATAGCATGATATGATGATAGAAATTCATTGCTTTCCAAACTTATAAAGATTTGTCTTTACTTTGATTAAATATATTCATTAGGTTATTAATATTTCTAATCATACTATCCCTAAAGTCTTTATTATCAATTTGCTCTCTTGTTATAGAATTTAAATCTATTCCTATCTTTTAAAAAATAGTATTCTGAACAAGTAGAGGTTCCCATCTATTTATTAATAATTTTTAAAAATATCATAATATTAACTTTCAACAAATAGAATAGTATTGTTAATAAATAATTTTAGTGAGTCGTAAAGTAGAAATTTTTTTAAAAAAAGGATAAATATAATTTTTAATCAATCTTACATTTCTAATCCAATCGAAGCTAGCTAAACAATTGCTTTTACTCTTTCTGGATGAGTATGAATAAATTTTTTCCCATACATACCTCCAGCAGAATGCATAATAAGGACAACTTTATCAATTTTAAGCTCATCCAAAAAATCTTTCATTAGGAGGGAAGTGTCTTCCAAATATCCTAAATAGGTTCCTAGTAAATTCATATAAAAATAAAAAAAACTTTATTTACTATCAAATTAAATTAAGAGTAAATTTCAATGTACCTCGTCTTTCATCTTAGCCATCAAGCCCTGGTATTGAGAAATTTATCCATCTACAAGATAAACGCGCTTAAATGTGTTATTATAAGCTCAAAAAATCTTAAAGACTTCCAGGAATGCCATGGATTGTCATAATAACTGGTATATTAATTTGATTTGCTTCATTTTAATTTATATCTGAAATCCTATCTGTATAAAATAGATATCTATTCCCAGATAACTTCAATTCTTTTACTTCATTTTAAAATTTGTTAATTTGCTTATTATGTTCTTGATCTATAATCTATTTAAATTGAGCTTCATTTTATTAGCATAGTATTCTAATTTCTTCATTTTCCTTTTATATTTATAATGCTAGTCTAGTGTCTCTTCCATGAATAAAATTTGAAGGGATATCAAATTTCTTAAACTTATCTTGCTACATTTTAAAACAAAAATGTGTTTTATATCTTAATAATATAGAGTATCTATTGTAATATATTACTTGTTATTTTTGTAAATTTGTTTAATTTGATTATTTTTTTACTGATTACTTGTTATTTTTATAAAATATCTAAGATATTAAAGTAAATATAAATAAATATTTCTATTATTAATTATAAAGGGTTATGCAAATTAATTGTAACACTAAGTTTTTATTATTTAATAATTTTGATTTATAGCTAAGACTAAGGTGTTTTATTGTCATATTTCTTATTTTCTTACTTAAAAATTTGAAAGAAACAAAATAAAAAATAAATTGACATTACCATATATTTTTCAAACAAACAAACAAAATGTTTAATATTTTTGTAAAAGAATTTGGAAATTATTTAAATCTATTATAATTATAAAATATAATATCTGAAATTACATATTCAAATTGAGAAAACATGCAATAAAGATTTATAATAAAAAATTAAATTAGTTTAATTTAGTAGTAATTAGAAATCCATTGCTACCATTTTATTTTATTTTACTTGGCCTGGCTTTCATTCTTTGTATTTTATTTAATTGAATAAGCTCAGTTGAATATCGCTTATATAGATTAATAAGCTCTATAGAAGGACTATATTCTTGTGTAAGTAGCTGTATCAATTTACTAAAATGATTAGGAAACACATTACATAAATTCTTCTTCAGACACATTTTCTTATAAAAATGATAATAAATCTACAGATTTTTCTAAGTTGTTTTCTAGGTTATCTTCTTAAGAACAGAAACTTAGATTAAGCTTTTCTCTGCCTTTGAACTTTTACAAATACCTTGAAGATATGAAAGTTTCATAATTACACAACTAGGATATTTAATCTAATAAAGATTAAATTGAATTGCCTAATTTAAAAAACTTTTTATTTTGAAATTCTTCTTTAATTACAAAGGAATGTTAATTTGATTGAGATAACTCTATTTCTGTAATTAAGCTTTGTTCACATAAATATTTTTGCTTTTCTACAGCTAAATTAGAATAGCTATTGAATAAAATTTCATAATTATTACCTTTTCTTAACGTTCCATTTGCAAACTCAATATATTCCTCATAACTATAATTAGTTTATTTAATTTATTCTACAAAATTATTAAGATCAATGGAGTATTGTTTCATGCAATTATTGAAGTGATCTAATTATTCATCTGTAGGATTTTCTGATCTCAAAATTTTTTCAACTTCTTTTTTATAATCGAGTTTAGAATATATTTTCTCATATATTTTTTAATCCTCTACTTTGAAGCGATTAAAAAAGGTTTAAATAATTTAATCATTAATGAGGATACATTGCTTAATTTCTGGAATTTAAATTTAAATTTAGTCAGATTTAACCTCTTCAAATTAAAAGAACAATTTGTTAATAATATTTTCTTTAAAAATATATTAAGAAATTTCATCCTTAATTTATTTGTCAGACTATGTCCCTTTATGAATATTTGATAAAATCTGTTTGTTGCTTGTAAAATTGTCTTTTTCTAGTTCTCTATAGCATTCGTAAGCCTTGCTGCACTATGGTTGAGAATATAATTCAACACAATATTTCTCCTTTAGCAATTCTGCCTTTTAAAAATACAATAAACGAATTTTCTTTTCGTTTAGAAAATCTTTAAAGAATAATCCAATAGTTTTATTAAACTGTTATTTGTCTGTAAAAGTCTATTAAGTAAATAAATTTCGTATTAATCCTATTGATGATGCTATTCCACCAATATTCCATCCTAATCCTGGGATTAAAAAAGCAGCAATACCAAGAAATCCACTTAAAGCATTAGAAACTGTATTTAGCTGCATCTATTAAGAGCAAATATATCTCTTTTAATAAGAAGAAAAGTCAAATCCAATACTAGCAAGTGATGCAACTACATTTAAAGCAAGTAAAATTCTATTGACCTCTTTTATTGCTTTGAAAGAAGTTATTAATAATTTAGCATTATAACTGAAGAATGTCATATTTCTAATTCCTTCTCCTCCAACTCCAATAATTTTATCCATGGCTTCAAAAAATTGCTAAATGGTAAAATTTATTTTTTCTTAGTCTTCGTATTGAAAAGCATCAATTATCCCATTTTAAATGCTCTAATAAGCAGTAATCTCTTTGATCACTTTTAATTTGGCTAGATCTTCCAAAGTCTACCTGTGTTTTTAGATATCAATAACTGGTTAAAGATGATAAACTAAATTCCAAAAGTGAAGCTGTTTTCTTGAGAGTAAAATTTTTTCGCTTGATGGTTCTTTTTCGAATTAGTAAGAATTCCATTAATACAATATTAAAAAATGTCTTTAAATGTTGTTTTTTAATTTATTTTATTATTGTATGACTCTCTCTCTTTAGTCTTTGTCTAATATATTAAAGTTTTCATTAAAAAGCAGTTATAAAACACTTTAAACTTCATCTATTTTATTAAAATTAGTAATCAATCCAAAGTGTAAAGCATCTAATTCCTTTTAAATGCCTATCTTTTATGCTATTTGATCTTATGATTCTTATGATGGAATTGAAGGTTCATTAATTTA